AATACGCAACAAATCTTGACTATCAGGTCTCCCCATGTAATAATTAGTCAATATTGGATGGCTGTGCAGGTGCATGCGTATATTATATGAGGGCGGGCAATAAACAGAGCAGCGTGGGCGGGCAGTGTGGCAGCGTCCAGGTAGCCGAGAGGAGGACATGGGCGGTTTAATTTTTTTAATATATTTTTTAAAATTTTTCTGGCTGTCTAATGCCGCCTGAAAAATTATTCCTACGTGTGTTTTGCTAACGGAAAATTTTCCTTTGGAAAGCTACTAGTAAAAAATCCCCCAGAAAATGATCAATTACTGTCAGAAAATACCGTCGGTAATATATGATTTTTATAGTGTCTTGTACACTATCAACTGGTACCATGGGTCCTCTCCTAACATCAATAAATATGCTTATATTATCATCACTTTCTCCTCTAGTTAGCTCTCTATCTGATCTCTTTTGACTCATGTCCTGCCAAAATTGAGGAACAACCAAATCGTTTTCCATTAGTCGCGCTCTCTCTACTAACTCTACAAATTCCTAAATTCTTGGTAGAATTAACAGATGCCTTAGTTTATCATTCAATCCTCTAAAGAATTAGTAGCATTTTTTTCTCTACTGCACTAATAGTCAACTATAGAGCGTACCTTGTCAATATAGTAAATTTAGCTTTATACTAAATTATTGTTTTGTTCCCCTGCTCCAATCTCAAGAAAGCCTCATGTATCTATAGTTGGGTTGATGGAAACATAAACTAGTCTCTGAATACAACAACAAATTATGCCTTGTGATCTCTACATTCATCTTTCTTTGAAAATTCTCTATGTTGTTCAATCCACCATCACTTAGCTTCTTCTTCAAATAAAAAAATTGCTAGTGGTACTTTCTTGTTCTTTGGACATTATATTTTGTCAATATCTTATCTATTCTCAGTAGCTAATCTTTTGTTTCCTCTGGCTTTTATATATCCCTTGAATAATAGGGGCTTCAACTTATAAAATATTTATAAATATTTACCTATTTAGTCTCTTTACTCGCTGTCTATTTGCTTTGTGCATCACTCATTAGCTGTGCTATAAGATTGATAAATTGCATCATGTTGTTAGAACTCATTAGGGCAACTACATTATGTTATTTTGGTATTTTCGTGTGGATGTATTATACTCAGTATAGTTTTATTTCATATCAAATTATAATTCAATCACATATATATTGAAATGAATGCAAAAAAATAAATAAATCAAATATTACCCATTTTTACACATCTCAATCATTTCATATAGACATGGTTACAATTCAATTCTTCCAATAACCTTTGCTTGTATGCCAATTGTAACACCCTATGGTTTAACTTTGAAAGAATTGTTTATTTATTTGTTAAATAATCTACCAAATTCATGAATCTCTTTTAAATAATATAATCATTAGCTGAAAAAACTACAAATCATATTCATTAAAATAATTGATTATATTCATTTATCAAAATTCATATAAAATAGCCAAGAGTTCAATATGTATATGTATCAATCTATCTTTTAGCACTTGACTACAAGGAATAAAACCAAAAAAATAAAAAAAATAAAAACATGAATCTATGATTTGCCTCACTCCCCTGGATCTTGATCCCTTCCTGAAAAGTATGTAAAATTATTGAGTGAGCTAACAATTTAATAAATTATCAGAACTTACAACTAAAAATAATTTAAAATAATATAATAATATACATATAATCTTTCAATCACTATTAGTATGAACATATAATTATAAAGCATGTAATAATGATTGAAATAATAATAAATCATATAATCAATAAATATTAGCACAACTTTATATCTTAAGAGCAGTGATTAGTAACTAAGTGAACAATGATCAATAAATTTTATCATATAATATACCCAATAGTTACAAAATAATTTATATAACATCTTATTCCATCAGTACACTTATCATTATCATATGTATATTATATAATGTCTATGTTATGCATGTATATCATGTAAATCATATGATTCACATATATTAAATGACTTTGTTTAAATTTTATCAGTTTTATCAAATACATGTATATGTTATAATATATATCCTATATAAATCATGTCATATCAATTATGTAAGTTATCACATTATATTCCTGTCATATGCATGCGTAAGTATTATAAACACAAAAAAACATCAAACTTTTTGTGATGTTTTTCTTGTATCCAGTCATGTAGGCCAACCTTATAAGAATCAATCATATTACAAGTCATTTATGTCAGGTGGATTTTATATTAGAAGTCATTATTTCATACCCATCGATATATCATATCATGTCAGTCTTTTTTCCTTATGCCTCATTTTTCATATCATTTAGGATTATATCACAAATCTTATTTTAAATGAAAGTACGTCGAATCACACTCTTGTATAGGATAACATATCTTTCAACAAACCTGAATTAGTCAATTATTTTTGGCCAAATTTTCTTACATACACATATTTCATAATATATATAACATAATAAACATCTAGTTTCAAACTCAATGTTTAGTTCATTATTTCATCTTAATGCATATAAAATTTGCATACGAACTAAAATTAGTAAAATTTATAAGAAAATGTATCGTGCTCTTTTTCATGTGTGTATCTACAATAATTTTATTATAATAAGTATGCATGTCATATACACACATAAAAAGATTTTAACAATTGTTTTTCAAAATTTAAATTTATTCAAATTACTTAAACTAAGATATTTTTCCCAAAATACAAAAATAAATAGTAAAAATTTAATATGTTCTAGTTAACATCTATTACATACCAAAAATTATGCTCCAAAAGTTTGTTAAAAAGCAAGATATCGCAACTTTTACAAATTTTGACTAATTTAAAATTCATAAAAATGTAAAATACATGAAATCATTGAAATCAGAGGTAGGTTAATGATAGTCTACCTCGATATGAATAACTTTCCTTACTAGTTCGATTGACAAAAAAATTTTTGTAACCTCTAAATCCTAATTTTTCTTTTCTCTCCTTTTTTTTTCTTTTTTTTTCTTTCTTAGAGATCTTTGTTAAAAATGAATGCTTAAGAATGATTTAATAAAATATGTAAGTGGGGCATTTATATAATAAAATAATAAAAAGATTTATTGGTAATTATTACAATTGTTTATTTTTAGTCAAAAAGTTTCTTACAAATCCTTTTATATATATTCAAATATGGGGTCCTAAAAATTATAAAAAATATTCATAAAATAAAAAAACATTTTTAATTTTTTTTTTATGAAATTGCTTTATGAACGGATAACAAAGTTTTCAAATCTCACTTGTAACGATAATTATCAATTATTTATACTGCCCTAAAATTAAGAGAAAATGATTATAATTAAAGCACAATGATATCTATATTATGATGAAGATGATTTGCAAATTAGACTTATAATGATTTTTGAAAAAATTATTTGACTGAATCAAAACATGAACTATCACAACAACAATCTCATATATGATATTTGGAGAACTATTAATTACACCATATTTAGAAACTTGATTTGCTCAATATAATAACATATTCATTCATTTTATCAGACTTAATAATACAAATTAAAAAGATCAATCTAAGGTGCAAGTTATATTAACAATTTTTTTCAAATTTCATATAATTTTGCTCAAAATAATAAATACATTAGAAATGCATGCAAATGTACGCAATAAGAATAATTGAAAATTAAAAAAAATAAATGGGACACATATCCAAATTAATTATAATTTTATTGGCTTTTGTCTATTTCACCCCTTTTGCTTGGTGCTTGATTCTAAATCAAATTTAGTATATATAAGTTCAAAATAATATGAATTATGTTAAATATAAGTCACATATTTGACTAGGGTTATCAAAACGGATTTGGGTCCAATCCAAAATTGAATGGGCTTGAATTCAGTTAATAAACCAGTCAAATACTTCATTCTGAACCTGACCTACTAACAGCCCGAATAACATGAAACCATCATGTTAACCCGTTTGATTTAAATTTCTTATAACTTAATTAATTTTTTTAATAACTTAGTAACTACAACGTTTACATATTCGATTAAAAATAAGAAGATTATACTCGTAAATTTAAAAAAAAATCATGAAAAAAGATATTAAACAAATCATTTTTGAATAAAAAACAAGTTGGTGGGCCAACCTGAACTGATTTGTTTAATAAACGGGTCAAAAAATCCAAACCAAACCCATTTTATTTAAAACATGTCAACTAGAGCCTGAATTTTTTATGCCTAAGTTATTTTTTGACACCTCTATATTTGAGTAAGATGATTCGTATAAATACTCCTATTATGACTCTATAGTAGGAATTTTTATTGGGTCAGGTAATCTGACGTAGAGATACATCAGGTACCCAATAAAAAAATGCCACATACACTTACTTTTTGTTTAAAGCTGAGTGTTTTTTGTTTAAAGTACATGTGACATTTTTTTATTGGGTACCTGATGTATCTCTACATCAGGTTACCTGACCCAATAAAAATTCCTATAGTAGACACTAAGATCTCTTATATATTTCCATAAATGACAGTGAAGAAATATATTTAAGGTGTTAATATACTTAAATATTATTTTTTTGAGACATTTAGGAAAATTAAGGTAAACTCACACACAAATTAAGTGCATAAGATTTGAACTCAAAACCTCTTAATTGATAGTCAAAACTTTCAGCCGATAAATCAAAATGAGATACATTTTAAGTACTATAAAATTAAAAAAAATTAGGCATCAGATATTTAAATATAAAAATTTTAGGTGATATTTTTGTAAATTCTCATATGTTGTATTAAATTAGATTTCATCTGAGACAGCTTTAACATTGCTTACTAAAATAAAATTTTAAAATTAAATAAATTTTGCACTATATAAAGCTGTTTTAGAAAATGTAAAAAAAAAATTGTGACGAGACCTTAAAGTTCAGTTACTGCTTATATTTTGTATCAGAAAGGTGCTATAAGAAGCATTAACAAATCCGTCCCAAACGAAGCTTTAATTAGGAGAATGTTTTGGGGTTTATTTGATAACAGCGTAGGCCGCTCGCTCCGCCAGGACTGGAGGAAGAAGCGGACGCAATCCCGCCATTGAGGTGCAGGGGTTAGCACTGGTAATTCAACTCAACTGCCTGTTCTTTCTTCCCTTCTTCGGCGCCGAAGTTCTCTTGTGCTCGCGATTTGATCGCATCTCTACATGATCGGAGCCGTTAAGCTCGCCGATCGGTATCACGTGTACCGAACATGAGTACAACAAGGCATACGGTGCGAGATTTGATCGAAGAAGCGAAGAAACGGGTCGTGTTGTTCCTAATATGCATCTTCGGCCTCTCCTATCTCATGTCCTGTAAGTCCATTTATCTCCCTTCCGGTTTCTCCGGAGTTAATTCTGTTTGTTTTCTTGACATTCGCGGCGATGAGATCCCAGTATCATCTGAATGGTATGTATAATTTGTTTAACCTGGATTCTGCCTTTTCTCTGATTGTCCAGTGTTCTTTTCCAGTTGCAGCATGTTTGTTCAGACGATTTCTATTGATTCGATTTGTTTTTTTTCTCCTAGGTTTATTGCTTTTCTTCGTTCTGTCTCTACTTCCATACCCCTAAGAGGTGCCAAGGGTTTAATCTCGCAAAGTTATGCCCCGGATTTAGGGCTGCAATTTTAACTGGGAAGCTTAAATTGCTATCTGAAGTAAATCAATTTTTTAGGGAGATTGATTTCTTTATACTATTTTTACTGAAATTCAAACATTAGACCTTTATTTTGGTGATCAAAGATAATACCTCTTAAACAAGTTGTTAATGCTTCTTTATACTATTTCATTTGCGTTAATCGGTAAAATTGGGTTGAATGATTAAGTCTCCCTATCACTTTCTTTAGAAAATGCCGACTCATGCTTTGCTTGGGTTCGCTCAAACGTTCATTTGGTTTTAGTGCAACTGATGCTTATTTTTAATTGTTTTTCTTTATTCAGAGTGCCGGACAACGTTGAAATGCTCTTCTAATTTTTTTGGCTTTAGCCTAAGTGCGAATTCCGTAATTAAAGTACATCATTGATGTGAATTTAACTCTGTTAAAGTGTGTCAAAGTCCAAAGGAAGTCTCCTAAAGCCTTGTGCTTATGAAACTTTTATCATATAAAGATTCATGATTCCCATGCCCGTAGGGAAGAAAGGTTTTTTTTTATGCATTTTGGAGTATGTCTTATTATTTCGCGCTGCTTTGGAAGTGACTTGGTTGTAATGCTACCTTCAGCTATTTGAGAAATCAGATCAATTGAACTTGTCAAACAATCATACACAATTAAAATTAGCATAGCTATCAGAATTTCCAAACTGAATTCGACTGAAGGTGAAGTTGGAATATTTATTATAGTTTGTTTGGTTGTCCACATGCTCTTGAATATGATGCGCTCTCTTGTCACCACTTCCGGATACTCCCCTCCCCACCAAACGTTGAAAATTTCATATGCAAAGCCCTGTAAAGTGTCTTTTATGCTTTCCTTGCAATTATCCATAAGAAAGAATGTTTGTGAACCAAACATGGAAGTTAGGATTGGGAAATGTCAAGGATACAATGTATATTTGCTTGCTCATATGATAAGCAAGAAGCTAATCTACAAGGAAGCTAAAAATAATATATATGCATACATATGATTAGGCAGTAGGCACACTATTAGGTAAATTTTACTCTCTTATTCTTATATTTAGTACATTCATGCTTCCTAATAATCAACATTAAATTATTGAATAATACACACACATATAAAAACACATATACACACACAAATGCTATGTACTACACATTCTTATAATAAGTACATTGTGCCTCGTAATCATCAATATTATCTTCCCTAATTATTTGAGAGGGCTACAAATATATGTATATTGATATGATTATAACTACTTATATACAAATGGCGCTATTTTTTATATATTTAAGGACACGCATTCAACCAATTTCCATGCATCCGTGACATGCATACACTCGAACACTAACATGTACAGATGTACTTGTGTAAAATGTTGTTTTTCTGGAGGGTGATAATTTAATGAATAGGAAAGATAACACTAATTCTATCAACCACAATAAAGATAATTATACACGCTCACTATTATGATATGCTAGCCGTCTTTGATGATAAATATCCTGATATTATTTTTATAGTTCCAATTCAGGCGCCTTGGTAGTTGGCATAACCATATTGAGAGCATGAAATTTGCGCTATTTTGATCTAGAAGGTTAATGTTTTGAATTCAAGATAGCTTTTTGTTAGTTGGGTATGGCTACTTACCTCAAACCCTATTGGGAACCTACATTGGTGGAAGCCTTTTGCACTTGGCATTCCCTTTTTGTCGTGCAATATGATGATTGAGGTTTGAGGAAACCTATTATTGATTAGGGTATTATAAGCATGTAAAGTATGTTGGATATTATGGCTATTTTGAAATATTTTAAAACCTCAAGCGTTATACATCTAATTTAATACTTATGTCACCTTTAGAGCTTAACCTAGAATAAACTCACTCACTCTCTAGGAATCTTCCAAAAGAAGAGAGGGATTCAGAGCGTAAAACTCTTGAAATAGAAATTATTTGTTTGTTCAGTAAGTACGTAAATTTTAGTTTATGGTGTTGTTAGCAATTCAAGTTATTAAACTCTAAGCAGGCGTGATTTAAAGGTTTTAAAGCTTGGATAACGTGATAAAAAACTGAAGCTATTGGTGGGAGAAGGAACTACTAAGCTTTTGACATGCTTTTTGGGCTTCATAAAATGTTCTCATATTTTCAGGTTTCCAAGTATTTGTTATGCTTTGCAGTAGGGAAATATCAAACTCATATAAATTTCATGTTTCAAAGCTATTGTGTACCAAATACCAATGCATTGTTAGTTTTGGAAATTGCATGAAAACTTTTTCAGTTTCTTTTTATTACCATCTATTTATAGTTTTATTCTCTTTGCCATGCCTCTGTAGATCTTATGTAAAACGCCTACATAAATTCTAACAATTACGATCCACATTCATCAAGAATTCCGCCCTCTTTCGTTCCTCCTTTGCGCCTTCTCCTTGATTCGTAGAATCTTCATTGCTTACTCATCAATTTGTGAACTACTATAATTGTTCTACAGACTCATCAATCTATGAACTATTGCAATTATTATGTTTTCTATTAAAGCTATCCTCAAATTGTATAAATATTACACAAATCTTGGAATGAAATAGTCAGCCAATTCTTGTTATGATATCAGAGCCCTCATCTTTTGCTTTTGTATTTACATTACAATAGCCTTCATCATTGCATTATCACAACCGTACCATTTTCATTGCTGCACTCTCTTCCTTTTCCCTTATTTTTTTCATAAGTACGGCCTTCAGTTTTGTGTTGCAGCTAGCATTTTCCATTATTGCAGCCTTCATCACTCCATTTTCATAAATTAGTCCCATTGTTTCTGCATTCATCATTGTATTGTTGTAAAAAATTTTCATTTTTGCAATCTCCATTGACACATTGTTGCATTTTTTTTTCATTATCTATTTTCCTGGAACAGAACCACAGTTTCTCTCATGCACAATAATAATAATACCCACATACCCTAGGTTTTAAGCTCTATTGGAATTGAGGAATGTAATCTAAATGTAATCTATATCTAATTGGAGAGTTGCAAAATATCCATGGACTTATCGGTTGAATGAAAAGAATTAATTAAAGTTGTCACAATTGGTTCATAGGTTCTAAAGTGCAGAACAAAATTAGCCTATTTATAAGGCACAGAAAGAGAAAAGGTTTTTTAGGAGCACCTAAAAAAATTATAGTAGGTAGTTGTACTCTAGCATGCTTAGGTATCATCACCTATTCTTGTTCTTTTTAAGTCTTAGAAATGTCCAATTTTAGCTCTGGATCAATTATTCAGGAGCCATAAATCGTATGAGCAACTCTTATCATAAATTTACTTCATACAACCGTTGTCCTAAAATAAGAAAATAATTTGGTTAATGGATCCTTGGCCACTGTGGCCAGTTAAAGAGATATTCTTATAAACAAATCTCTTATACTTCAAAATATTCTTAATATACCCAAGTTATTTACCAACGTGATAACAAGTTAGCTATCAATATTGCATTCAGTCCCCTGCAACATGGCTGTAGAAAATATCAAAATATATTCATGTTGACAGGCACATTATAAAAATAGAAGTTTGATGGTGGTGTAACCTGTTTTCTATTTGTAACCACAGGTAAACAACTTGTTGACATTCTCACCAAAACATTATCAAGGATAGTATTTTAGAAATTATTATGCAAATTTGGAATGAATGACATCCATTCATTCCCTGAGGGGAAGTATGATAGGAAATACTAGAAATCAAGTAATTCCTAGCCAAAACTGAAGCGGAACAAGGGAAAAACTGCTGTCTCCAGCAGGGGACAGCAGCTTTACACAGGAAAACAGTGAGAAATCATGGGAAAACTGAGAGAAAAGTCACAGAAAAGCTTGTATTTCACTAGAAGAAGAAGAAAACAGCAAAGATACAATTGATCATCAATTCGAGAGGAGGATCGATCTCTCCCAAATCTCTAGACACCGCTAGAGCACAAAGAAAATCTAAATCTCGGTGATATCAAATTTCAGCCAAATTCAAGATGATCAAACCCTAGAAAAATCAACTATTTAATGCATACAATTCAAAAGGAATTCCCTAAACAATCCCTGCAATCAATTTCCCTCATAAACTTCCTCAAAATTCCTTCCTGAAACGCTCCCGCAAGCTGAGCGGCTCGCACGGCCTCCGCCCAGGCGGAAGGTTTCCACCGTTTCGTGTAACGGCCGGTCCCGCGTGGACCGGCTGGACCGGTCTAACAAAGTATGAAATGCCTACATAATTTATGCTAGCTGGGGATCCACACTTTCTAAGTCTTCCGTCCTCTTTTCTTTAACTCCTGCCGCTAACTTGTTGATTCTTGGGATCTCTATTGCCTACTTATCAATCGGTGGATTGTTCTAATTATACTCTAATTATTATTATGCATCTTCATCAATCCATGGATTATGGTAATTATTCTGTTTCCTATTAGAAGTTCTTCTAGGATTGTATAAATAGTATAGAAATGTTGGAATGAATGCTCTACCAATTCTTATCATATTACTTAGGCCCTTTCATTGATATCAATTTTCATGTTTAATGGATTTATCATTTCAGAATTCTGTGCCCTGTGCAGTGGTCTTTCTGTGCATTTGGCTCTAATTTGCATTTTAGCATTTTCGGTGGATCTTTGTTTGCCAGTCTGTTATTTGGATATATTTTAAAATGAATCTGTGTTGAAGTTTGTATTTGGAGGCTTAATAGCATATTTGGTTCTAACCATCTGTTTATATATTCCCATCTGAAGATCTCAGTTTTATTTTCTTTCTTTTGTTTAGCTCTTCTCTTTGAGTATTGGTTCCATAATGCTTTGTTTTCAGTAACTAGTTCCTCAGTCTGGGTGAACTTGCCCGCCGCTGCTGTGTTGATCATTTTCTGCCGATACATCTCGCTTGAGCTTGATATCCACAAGAAGTCAGCAACAGGCAGCAAACCACCTCTTAGCAATCCATCTTCCCAAAAGAAGTCCATCAAACCTCACAACTCTCCCCTTGAAAAGTTCAACTGGAGAAGCAAGGTGAATTCTCCTGTTACTGAGGAGGCAATTGACCACTTTACCAGACACTTGGTCTCAGAGTGGGTAACAAATCTTTGGTACTCTCGCATAACACCTGATAAAGATGGTCCTGAAGAATTAGTTCAGATTATAAATAATGTTTTTGGGGAAATTTCAAGTCGTGCAAGAGAGATAAATCTTATTGAGCTTCTTACCAGGTTTTTATCACCATACTACCTTCCCTTTAATGACCTTTTGAAGAGAATATATTTATTTATTGGAATGTGGTTGTGGAAAATGATGCAGGGATATTATTAATCTGTTTTGCAATCATTTGGAACTTTATCGTACGAGCATCTCCAAGATTGGAAGGCAGGAATTGAAGAAGCTTCCCCTTGATCATCAAGATCTTCAACTGAAGCAGGTTCTGGCCGCTGAGAGCAAGTTGCATCCTGCTCTGTTTTCTGCAAAAGCTGAGCATAAGGTTGTAGGTCCCTCGTACCAGGAAATTCAACTGGTTATTGACTTATTACAGCAGGATGTAATGTAGAAGTTAAAATCTGAAACGTTGTTTCTTTTATCTTTTTGTGAATTTGCAATTCCGAGCCATTATTGCTTTAGACTTATGCTAATTGATCGTTTTTAGTGAAAGAATTTTCATTTCATTATTTCTTCCGTTTCTAATTGCATTCTGTTATTTTGTATTTGCCCTAATTTAGCCCATTTGATCAAATTATTGGAATAACTTGATATTGAATAGGCTAATTCCCTAACAATTTTATGCTCTAGGTTTGTATTGCGTATCTGCTTTCTGATAAAGAAGAATTTACTATTAAGGGTTTTAAGTTTTGCTGAGGAAAGTTTAAATAAAAATCATTTTTGTTTCCAAATCCACTGTCTCAGGTATTGCAGCATTTGGTGAAGGGGCTTATGTCGACTGCTTTTAGGCCCAAAGACCTGCAATGCTGTTTTTTTCAATATACCACTAGAGAACTTCTTGCTTGTGCTGTCTTTCGACCTGTTTTAAACTTGGCTAATCCAAGGTGGTTATATTTTCGCTTCGTTGATTCTTTCTCATATAGACTTTTTGCTTTTGTCCAATTTAATATAATGTTTTCATTTTCACGTTAGGGTTATCAATGAAAAGATTGAGTCTTTGGTTCTTTCTTTTGCCAACAAGGCTGATAAGGAAGCTAAAACTTCAACAGATCAGGCAGTCATAGTCAAGTCTAATGCACCTTCAAAGCCATCAGCTGAACAGCTTTCTGGGTTACTAGATCGCTCAGCTGTGGGGCTCGAACTTGTACAATTTAAGCATGGCCCATCTAAAATTGCTTCTGATGAACAAGTGGCAAATAATGGAGCAACTTATTTGAAGCATAAACATTCTTCAGGTTGCAGTTCTGTAGGGACTCATGAGACAGCGCTGATGCCAGGGACCATAAATAATGGTGCTCAAGAATCACCAAATACTCAAACTAATCATATTGACCCAACTTTATCTTCCATTCCCAAAGGAGAATGGGGTCAGCTTTTGGATATAATTTCCCAAAAGAAGCAGAATGCGCTTGCACCAGAGCATCTTGAAAATGTATGGGCAAAAGGAAGAAACTATAGGAAGAAGGAAGGATCAAAACAGTTTCCAAAGCAAAATGCACATGGTACATCTACCTGCAGCAATAGCACAAAGCAATGTGCAACAACACCTGGTTACTTGAAAAAAGATAAGGCAGCAAGCCGTGATTCGTCCATGATTAATACTGCTGTTCCATGTCATGAGAATCTAGATTTTGCCGACAACTTTATTGCTCATTCTGACATGATTGATTCAGCTTATCACCTTTCCGATCCATATCAAGAAAAGTCAGATGTTCATCAGGAAGAGATTGAAATAGCTAGTGAAAGTTCATATGAAACTGAAGATGAAGAGAGCAGCAATGTGACAGGCCTTGGCTCTCCTGGAACAAGAGTCTGGGATAGCAAAAACAAAAGAAATGCTTCTGTTTCACACATAAGGCACCCTCTTGAAACTTCTGATTTCCATTCAACAAAGAAAAAGGTTAAAAACCATGTTCGACATCCCAGGACATTGAGAACTCCATCAGGAAGGAAAAAATTTAGGCCAAGTAATCAGAAGACCCCCCTTTGGCAAGAGATTGAGAGATCGTCCTTTTTCTTAGGCGAAGGGAAGGATCTACTAAATGAATTAGCCAAAGATACTAGAATGGAGGAACTGAGTGATGACCCGGATGTTGAAATTGTTGGTAGGATTCATAGTGGGGCAGCTGCATCATCATCCATGCCTTCCGTCTCAGCATCTGAATCATCCACCTTTTCTTTGAAGTCTTTGGAAAATTCTGTGCTGGCAGACTCATTTCTAAAGCTTAGATGTGAGGTGAATCTAGTGTTTCTTTCCATTGTACTTTCAATTCAAGATGTGCAAAGGATGGGCATCATGGCTTATTGCAAATGATGTGGATAAATTTTATGATTTAGGTTTTCGGCGCCAACATTGTTAAGAGTGGTTCAGGAAATTTTGCTGTGTATTCCATTGCTGTGACTGATGCAAATAATCATTGTTGGTCCATCAAAAGAAGGTAAGGCAGAAACTGAAAAAACCCATTTTTTTACAGGATCTGTTCATGACTTGCTGCTTTGAATTTTTGACTTTTTTTTTTTTCTGTTTAAGTAGTCTGTTTACTTTCTGAATTTTAAAAACCGTTATTTCTATTAGGTTCCGGCATTTTGAAGAGTTGCATCGGCGTCTAAAGGAATTTCCGGAATATAGTCTTAGCTTGCCGCCAAAACATTTTCTTTTGTCGGGACTTGAACTACCTGTTGTTCAAGAAAGATGTAAATTACTTGATAAATATCTAAAGGTATTTCTATTTATGTTGTGTTTTTCATTGACAACATGAAGGATAACTGTTTTTTCATGGTATTCTGTAGTTTCCTTTATGCTATCTTTGGAAAGTCTGTAAGGCGGTTGATTGCCAGCAACAAAACAAAAACTGTGATTGTGGTGGCTTCTAATTTTTTTATTTTTTTTTTATTTTTTTTATTTTGAGAAAGTAATAATCTGGTGTAGAGGAAGAACCTGGGAGGTAAAGAGAATGAATTGGTAAGAAATTTAAATGAATAAAGGCTTAAAAGGAAGAGGGGCATGAGATGAGATGAGATTGAGAAGAGATGAATGAGAAAAATGCTAGTAGTGAGTGAATCCCCTTGTGGGAAAATAAAAAATTTTTTTTTTTATTGTATCACAATTATGGCTGAAATATAAGACTTCTGCCCCATTTATAGAATTATGCCTGATTAAAAATGATAAAATTACTCTTGAACAATTATAAAAATATACTAGTCCTAAAGAACTAATGACATTTCAATTGCTAATAATTATCTATAAAAGACAAGTAAGGACTAAAAACTAAAGACTTGGATAGAGTTATACTATATCAATTCTATTGAACTGCAAAGAACTTTCAGAGAGTTGAAATGTTGCTTAAGGAAAGAACTGGAGGTCTTAAACTATATTTTATGGCTGGCAAAATCTATCTTGGAGGAGAAAGATAGAAAATACATCCTAAAGAAGAGGTGAAAGGAAGTTCATCCCAATGAGGAAGGGATGCATGGGAAGAATTTCAACATCATCAATAAGATTTACAACTAGGCTCTCTTCATCAATCCCTATGAACATACCACATATTTGGAAAGATATCTTTGGAAGCCGGGTTATCTTCATACACATTGCTAGATTGATTTGACACTGTACGAATTGACTAAGCCAATGGTTTCAAATGGCTAATGATGTTAGGTGGATGGGCTTTGTCTGAGAATGAATGGTTGTGATTTGCAGATGTGACATAGTGATGTGATACAATCAAGAATTGCACGTGAAATTTATAAAGAATCACAAAGTGTGCTAATTTAAGATTAAGGTATCGTGAGGTGAGGTTCAAGAGTTTTCAATTGTCAAAGTTATTATGATAAGCAATTACAAACTTGATGTTTGGACACAATTGGCGATAGATCTTGAAATTATCACAATAAGACAAATGCGGAGTAATATGTAATCCCACAGTTAATAGTTAAAAAATTCACAACGAGTTACCTTGCTCACTCAATCTCGAAGTAGGGCTTAGCGGAAGAAGGTCTTTAGCATATCCAACGATGCCACGAGGACGGTAGCAACCCCAACGGCCTTGAACCACGGAAAGGTTGACGGTGGCGAGGATGGCAGGAGTGGTTGACTGTTGATGCTCCAATCATAGTTTGGAAGTTGGCGGTCGATGACGTGCGCAAGAGTAGGGACAACTTGATCCAAATAATCTCCAACGGTGGCGTCGTGCTCAAATCCCACATCGAAGAACGGAGATCGTAGGATGTTGAGATTTCCATCGGCGTCGAAAACAAGTCCCCATTCAAGTTCGGGATCCGCCATTCAACATTGAAGTGGAGGTTGAAGGGCGTCGTCTTTTTCTCTTGGCTTCAAGTGTTATGAGCATCCAAAATTTACCAAGGGAGGTAATGGGGAGAGGGGCGGCCAAGGTGGGGAGAGAGGGGGCGGGTGATTTGGGAGAGGGGATTTAGGTTAGATGAGGGAAGGAAGAGATTTACTCAAATTTGAAACTAATTTCAGATTTTTAGTAAATTTGGAGGGAAGCGATTTGAAAATAATTTCAAATTTTCAATTAGAATTTAGGAGGATTAATGGGCATTTAATGGAGCCCATGAAGAGGGGGGCCGGCGGGTTCACTAGAGGAGGGAGAAGGGGTTTAATTCAAAACCTGAAATTAATTTGAAATTTGATTTCAAATTAAGGGGTCATTAATGAATTAATTGGGGAATCTGCCTTCCAAAATTTACCCCGGAACCTAATCCGTTAAAACTCCCCTCGCCGAATAAACAGAAAGAAATCGCGCGGCGGGGAGGACGTGGCCGAATTTTCGGAGCCCACAGTGAGGGAGAAACTTATGAGCCTTCCAAATTAGCACATAAACATTAGGAAAATTTATCATGAAATCCAATTGGTTTTGAAATTCAAAATTGATTTGAATTGGAATACTTTCCTAATATGGCTTTTGACAAATTTGGAAAGTTTGAGATTCAATCAATTTGAATTTCAAAATTTGAAACGTGCGGGGGAAAAGGGAAGAGGCCGGTATGAAAAGAAGAGGCCACGATGTGGATAAGAGAATAAGAAAATAAAAATAAAGCCATGAGTCGCGGACGCTTCCAACGACTGGTGGGTAATGCGCACGCTCACCTTGAGCTCAATCACCCTTCTCTAGCTCTCATGCAAGAAGAAGAAGATAACATAGCATTTCATTCAAAATATTTATCAACCTTTTACAAAGTATAAGACCGCTATATATAGGTCTCAAACACAAAGAAAAGAAAAGTACTCAAATGCCCTCTGGGCTGCAATAAGAAAACACTCCCCATATGGGTAAACTAGGAAAACGGAAATGCAAACTAAATGAAACATAAAATATATCAAAAGTAAAGACTCTGAATCGTAGCCGTCGATCTGCGCTATCTCCGGCGATACACATGCTTGAACCTCTGATCGATGTCCCCATCACATAGTTTTGTGATTAGTGAATAATGCCACGGAATTTGCAGATTGGTAAGCATAAAGAACACATGTGCTGGATGATTATGAAAGCAACATGTTGGTAGTTAGGATATGTAAGTAGCTGGTTTAGGCACGAAGTGGTCATTGTGATTGTGGGTTTTAAAGATGAGGATTCCAAGGAAGTGCGATGTGTGTGGAAGCAGGCCATGTAGGAGATGGATGCAATCGCAAATGATGCAGAAGAGCGTGCATGATAATTTTGCAAGACATGGATGCATGATGATTTTGCTAGTGAGTGAAGCGAGCTAGGAAGAGTCATGAGAGCAATGTTTGGGAGTGCAGGTTTGTGAGAAAATGCACATGAATGGGCTGTTGAGATGATAGCTTACAGTTAGATGCGATGCTTGGGACTGAAGGGACCTAGATAAAGGCTCAAGAGGCTGTCTTGACGATGGATTTAAAGGTAAAACAATGAATCCTTTATCATCTCCTTAGATATGTCTTCTCCAACATTCTTATGGAAGAGGCCTAAACCTTGATAATAAACATCATATTGAATTTGGGTGGTATGGCGGCAAGTCAATTAATAGGGGGTTTTGTTTTGCAAGGAGAGATTTGAATTAGATGAATGGAGCACCTTTGTGCTTGGGAATTGCAAGAAATATGATATGGGCGTGAGATGCAGAGCTGGAAGAAATTGTAAGTAATTGAATGTAGCATAAGTTGACCGTGAAAATTTATTGGTGAAAAGCTTTTTATAGTATATGGAATTCGGTTTTGATGCCAATTAGGTGGGATTGGAGCAACACAAATGATGATTGTAGTGTATTTACATTAATATTTTGAGAAGGAAAGAATCCAATGTTGAAGGATAATTTAGGATACAAAGGAGGAAATGTTTAAACGAAATTAGATGAATGAACACTTCAAAGGGAGACATGACGTAGTGCGGAAGCAGCATGAGGGAAATCCTAGAAAGGTTAGCGAATCCCTGCAGGGAAACCAGAAGTTAAAGCCCTTTATTTATTCTTCATCAACTCTGATTGAATTATATGACTTTAGAAATATTTCTTACTAAGCATGATAAAATTATCCAAAAACAAATATAAAAATACCAAATTAGACCAAATTAACTACTTTCATAAGTTTCTTTTAAACTGCAGATAATAAACTAAAAAAGGACAAATAAGTACCTCAAACTGAGAATTGAGGTGGACTTGCACTTTATCAGTGACTTTGTCTATAACTTCCCATGGCATGAAGAAGCTACAGACTAGGATCAGAAGAAATTCCTCTTGCCTCTATACTAGCATAAATATTGTGATGCAAGTTAATCCTAGTTGTATAGGAATAGATGGGGAAAAAGGATTCATAAATCTGGCTCCAAATAGTTGGAATGAGGTTAATGATGATGTTGCATTTTATTACTCATATTGATGTAACGTTAGCCTGTTTGTTCATAGTGGAATACATTTTGCCTGTGTTGTACAAATAAGATAACAATAGTTTTAGCTAATTTTAATATATTTTATCTTTCTAAAGTGCAAGTTTTATGTTTCAGAGGCTTCTTGAGCTTCCAACCATATCAGGATCTATAGAGGTTTGGGATTTTCTCAGCGTTGATTCACAGGTTTGCATATTGTTCTCTTAATTGCCTTTCAATTCATGTTACGTCCCTTGTCAGGTTTGTTTTGTCTGAAGGCAGTTTTGACATGCACTATTTCCTTTTATTTTCTTATGATTGTTGTAATGTGCTGCAGACTTACTTGTTCTCTGATTCTCTCTCTATCATGCAAACATTGTCGGGTAAATCTTTTTTTTTAATTTCCCAATGTTGTACCAGTTTTTTAAGTGAAACTGTTGATGCATGCTCATTAAATTCATCTTCCGATCCCATCATGATTTTTTGCAGTTGATCCTAATGATAAGCTACCTGAGAACAGTGCTAAGGTCCACAACTCGGCTGAAGTTGCAAACTGTCAGTTACCGTCTCAGACTGAACAGTTGAGCAGTGTAAATGGAGTAAATGCTTTATCCATGCATTTGAACAAAAAAAATACAGAATCAGAAAATTTTGGGATGCGAAAGAGAAAATTTGAGGGGCATGCTGGAATGAATGTTAGTAAAGAAGGTAATTCTTTATCTCATGATAATTCTGGGAGTGACACAGAGAAAAACATGGTTCAAAGGATGTCGGATCCTAGCAAGATTGAAAATGATGACCGTAAAGGTACTTTAAGTGGAGATGATGGCCTACCTGAGGCATCCCAAATTCCTGTGGCTGTTGGAGATCCAATACTTCCTACTGAAGTAAGTCTTTCCTAAAGCAGCAACTTTCGATTTTATATTTTAACTTGTTTATTATATTTTTGTTCCTCAGAAGTGTTCACAGATGAGAAAAGTGGAGGGTTGTGTTAGGTAGTTGACATCCAGCGTAAAATTTGTCAAATAATCATGACATGAATCCTTTAATATATTATGTTAATGCTAGAGCGTTTCCTGGAAGTGACGCGCTGTATGATCTGAATACAGCGAGAAGTGTTCAAGGTCGCTGCATTGGTGCCCGGATGCAATGTTAAATAGGCAAGGGCTCTCACATCATGAACGGACGTGGGTAAAGAAGCTAGCCCACAAAATTTGAATTCGGATAGGATCTTGGAATGTAGGTTCTCTTACAAGCAAATGAATGAAATTAATTGATATTATGATTCATATGAAGATAAATACTTTATGCATTCAAGAAACTAAATGAGTTTGAGAGAAGACTAAGGAGATTTATAGTTTAGGATTTAAACTTTGGTATTCTAGTTGAAGTCGTACTAGAAATGATGGAGGTGTGATTATAGATAAGAGTTTAAATGATAATGTTATAAAAATTGATAGAATTAAAGACAAAATTATTGCTTTTAAGATTATTATTGATGCTAAGATTATTAATATTATAAGTGCTTATGCGCCTTAAGTAGGTTTGTATATGTGTTTAAAATCAAAATTTTGGAATGACTTAGAAGAATTAATTCAAAAGATACATCTCAAAGAAAGAGTTTTTATTGGAGGATATTTAAATGAACATGTTGGTAGAAAGTTAGAGGATTTTAAAAGTATTCATGGTGGCTATGGGTTTGGAGCGACTAATAATGCTGGTAAGACTATATCAGATTTTGCTCCAGCTTATGATTTTGTAATTACTAATACCTTATTTAAGAAAAGAGATGAGCTTCTCATCACTTATAAGAATGGATATAGTAAAACTCATTAATTATTTTCTTATAAGAAAAATAGATCATTTATATTGCAAATATTGTAAAGTTATTTCGAATGAAAGTTTATGTACCCAACATCGCTTATTAGTTTTGGACTTTAAGATGAAGGGGTATAGTATAAAAAATTTAGTAAAACCTTGTTCTAAGATTAGATGGGGTTCTTAAGAACACTAAAAAAATATTTTTGAGAATAAGATTCAAGTTATTAAGATTTTGTCTGTGTATGAGGAAACGAATGTTATGTGGGATAAATTAGCTATTAATATTAATAATGTTGCAAAGGATGTTCTTGGAGTTTTAAAAGAAAAAAATTCATACTAATAAAAATAGAGTTAGTGGAATTAAAATGTGCAAGAAAAGTTAAAAAATAAGAAGCTTTGTTATGTATTAGATTTGGCCTATGGTCATGTAAAACGACGGCCTTCTGATGACCCTATTAGGAGAGTAGATGTATTAGATATAGGGGTGCAACCGAGCCAAGCCGGCTCGCACACAAGTTTGAGCTCGACGGCTAATCAAGCTCGAACACAGGGCTGCTCGACTCGATGGCTCGTTGAGTAGCTCGAATGGCGCGGGTAGCGACTTTGCCGATCAGCGACGCCAGCAGCGACGGACGATCAGCGACGCGAGCTCCTCCGTCCAACAACGCGAACACAGGGCTGCTCGACGCGACGCGAACAGGGCTGCTCAACGAGACGCGAACAGGGCTGCTCGACGCGATCAGCGACTAGAGTTCCTCTGGCCTTCTTCGATCAACACCCTTTAAATGAGAATTTGACTCTTAACCGGACATAATGGAGAAAAATAATTCATATAGCCGACCCCACGTAGTGGGATAATGGCTGATGTTGTTATTGTTGTAGAAGTGTTCACAGATGCACGTATTGAGCTGTAATGCTGCATGCCACCATGCTGTGTTGCAAATGTTGCAGAAGAGATGAGGATTGCAGGTCGGAGAACAAGGACGTATAACAGATCTGCCTATGAGCCTTAGCTGTAAGGTTGAATAAATCTACACCTTTTTAATTATATTTTAAAATCATATATATAATTTTAAAATATAATTAAAAAGGTGTAGATTTATATCACTTGCTTGCCTTATATGCTGAAGAGAAAGTAGGCTCTTTTATGTCCATTTTTCTGGTGCTAATGCTAGTCTATGAATCTATACTTTCGGCTCTTTTATGTAAATTCATATATCTTTGCATAACTCACAACGATGGTTATAGGATTGCATGAATCTCTAACATTTGAAAAGTTTCCTTAAACATGTGGCGCTAACATCTAGGAACTTGTCAATTATTTGATTTATCATCTAGAACATGAATGCTTATTAATGTAAAACGAAAATGCGATAGATGTAAAACCTCACTTGCTCTTGCCATCCGAGAAAAGTTTAAGTAGGCAACATCGTTTCTATTGTGCCTGAGAAGAATCTATGTGGGTATAGCAACACATGATTTGGTGATCTTAACATACAACTATGTAGGTTCTAAATGGATAGAACACTAATGACATTTTTATAATACTTTAGAGAAATTTTTGTTGTTTTTGATGGGTACATATTGACATTGATGTTAGAGGGGGTTGATTGACTCTTGATATTTTGAAATTAGCATTGATGCGAATTACTTAATAGGGATGAACCTCAAACCTAATTAACTAGCTTCAATGTTTATGTCATGAAGTTAGTTGATTAGGTTTGGGGTTCAGCCCTATAAAACAATTAACGCCTGAAAATTTTGAAGCTGGTTTATTTGGGTTGGGATTCACCCCTGAAATAATCAAGAAATTTACTCATCATTGTTGATGCTAAGTGCTTTGAGATGTAATGTGTAATTTAATAGCCACTTGCACAACTTAGGATCATTTATCTGCTTAGATGCTTTCATGCTTTTTCTTCGCTATTTCCTTTTATTCTGTAGATAATCTTCCTTAATGGTACTTACTTTCAGATTTTCTTATAAATCATATTTTATGAAATAATCTTGATGCAATGGTGCTGATGGATACAAGTCTTATTTCATCACTACTATCTTGTTTCAACTCATTCTTCTCCACCCCATATCATTTTGACAAATCAATGAAAGAAGAAAGAAAACTTCTGTGGATTTTTACAACTCTTAAAGATGGAATTTGTAATTTTTTTTACTGCAGTGGGCGACTCCAAATCTAAGTGTCCCTATATTGGATTTGATGGATGTAATTTTTCAGCTTAAAGATGGGGGCTGGATCAGGTAATTATATTGTGGAATCCCATTTGAAATATTTCATCCGACTGTTTTAGATTCTCCAATTTTGCTGTGAAGCTAATGCAAATATATGTTCCATATATTTGTGTTATTTAGGCGTCAAGCATTTTGGGTGGCGAAACAATTGCTGCAATTGGGAATGGGGGATGCTTTTGATGATTGGCTTATTGACAAAATCCAGCTTTTGAGAAAAGGATCAGTAGTTGCTAATGCAATTAGGCGCATTGAGCAAGTATGCGATTTGTTTTTGTTATCATATTTAAACTTCGAAGGTTAGCCAAGGTTAAATATCAATCGGTATAGTTGGCAGGGCATGTAAGCTTGCCATCAATTATTACCTCCTTGCTGGTAATCAGAAAATTAGATTATTGGTAGATGTAAAATGCCATGTTCTTTTTTAGTTCCTTAGACATCTCAACTTTGAAATGTATAAAATGTCTATTTTGCATTAGATTGTTTGAAATGCTTAGAAATTTTCTGCCTTGAATCAGATGCTATGGCCTGATGGAATCTTCATTACTAAGCATCCAAACCGTAAACCTCCTACACCAGTTTCTTCTCCAGGTAATATAGGCAGCGGAAACAACTTTCTCGAGAGTGAGCAACAAATAGAAGCTGCTCGTCGTGCGAAATTTGTTTATGAGTTGATAGTAGGTGAGGCTGATCTACTGTATATTTCATGCAAATATTCTTTATCTCATTCGTTGCGAACATAAAAAATATATAAGTGTTTCTTAAATTTGGATTTAGCAACTATACCTGCAAGAGGGATAAAGGCATAGTTATTCACGTGCAACACGTCAGATCATTACCCACACAAAAGAAATAGGAGAAAACTGCATTTCTATGTGGCATTTCAACTTAGAAAATGTTAACAAAATGGCAATTCCAACATAAATTGTTATAACACGAGAATTGGGATGTATAACTGACCAGTAAGAGCTAGAAAATGTGGAAAAGAAGCATATGACTACACGAATGGCAGAACAATTTTAAGTTTAAAGCACGGATTTAATGAGAGGATAAAAGAAAACTAGGCAGGCCATTCATCTTTTTCTGAATAAAGGTTGTTTTCTAAATCAAGCATTCTTGCGCATTAGATTGAAGCATGCACTTCATTGTTTTAGAGCATGCTTTTGGTCGACCAGTATATTTGAACAATTAGCTTCGTTTTATTTGGAAATTCATGCTTTAGGGTGCTTTTTTATGATACTAAAGAGAATGATTTTCATTTCATTAAAATTGGTAGACAAACTCTCAATGTTATTGTGTAAGCTGGCGAGAAGCTAGATTGATTTGAAAAGCTTTTAGAAATTTTCTGGAGGTTCTCTATTGATCAAGTAATCATACCTGGAGTGCTGTTTCTCTTTTCATATGGATTCTTTTATCTGAGTTGGGCTCCTCATTGTGGGCAACACAAACTCATGTTGTAACTTTACCTGCCTGGACAACAACCTTTTCTGTCTGTTTTTCCTTTGGGGCAACAAGAACCTGTTTTCTGCACTTGGTTGATTACAACAACCTGTTAAGTGTAGTAGCAGTAGAATAATAGCGGAAAAATAATACACAACAATGAACAAAAACTTTGGTGGCACCAGCTATCAACAAGGACAACAGATGGAAGACAACAAATGTAGATGCAAAGCAAGCAATGGTAAAGTAAGCTCTTCAATGGAAGTTCCATTGGAAAACAACAACAATCTGTGCAGAAGATAACTGTTGTTTTAGCTACACTAGAGTAATCTTGGATAAGCTTTTGTGGCTCTATGCTACAAGAGCAGGAACCAAGTAGTAGAAAGCAAGGGAAAGGAGAAGGGAAAGATTGTTAGCATAATTCTGTTTTTCAATTGGTTTTTCTACAAGAAAATTAATTTTCTTTATAGGGCAATATGCTAGATATAAGTTCTTATTCGTTTCTAAACAAACTCCAAAACAAAATGAGCATTATTTACAAATAACAACGTTGGTAGTTCAGACAAAACAATAATTCCTATAGGAATTATCATAATTTGGATTTTAATTCAAATGCAACTTATCCAAAGAAATAAAACTCTAAATTCATCAATACCCCGCTTTAATTTGAAATTTGGTATAATGGTCTAACTTCTGAAGTTTTAATATCCTCCCTTATTTGCTCTTATTGATGATATGATGATGCTTACAAACTCCTTAGCAACATCCTCTACAATTTCAAGTGTGCTTTGATTATCATCATAGTCAATAATTTTCTTACAGAAATCAGATTGTTAAAACTTCAACGAACAGAATATCATCTATCTTTTCATGATCTGTTACCCAAATCAAGATCATAGGCAATCTAATTGATCTCCTAATAGCTCTAATCTCTAGATTATTGGTCTCCCTTTTTGGAGGAATTCACTTCTATGAGTTGTATATCTCTAGATGAGGGAAAACTACTTGCCAATTTCCTTATATATTACTTCGTTTTGTTCGGTAATTAACCTTTTAGGATGACATCAACAATTTTGGTTGCGGTGGGTTACTATGTTGGAAACAACTATATGTCCTGGAAGAGTAGTATATACTTTTTCAACAATTCCTCCAATTGTACTTCTTAAGCCTTGCTTATAAGTTGATAGAGCAAAAATCCTTTCTTCCTTCTTAATTGACCTAATAAGTTGAAGCAAAAAAAAAAAAAGTAGCTTTTATAATTGTACTTGTTATGCTATCGTGACATTTGATACTAGTACTCAGTCCTTCAGTAAGTATTTGTTCCCATTCTTTATCATCTAAAATGGTAGGGACAATGATACAACACTTTATACCAATTTTGTTATTACAGATTATCAAAGATAACTTGAGTGATGTCAAGTGAACCTCCACCCACCTCGCACATCTCTTTAATGTAGTCCTTAGTAATTACAAGCTTTAGTTGGCATGGGAAAAGTGTTGTATCATTGTCCCTACCATTTTAATAATCTACATAAAGCTAAACAACAATCATCTAAATCCCTAAATAGCCCTTTACTTGAATTTTTCCTCTCAAACCATCCATAATTATTTCTTAATTCACTGCTGGCCCCACCAAGGAGATCTAACTCTTGTTGGGCGAACCTCTGTTCCGCCTAGTGTAAATATGAGCAAGATGGATCAATTTGATTGGTCGAGGGACTTGTCTAACAATATCCCCCTCTCAAAGACCCACTTTGTCCTCAAGGTGACAAGATGAGAATTGATGCTTCATCCTCTTGTATTGCTCCTAGGTGGCATCATAGTCTGGTAGACTTCCATTTGATCAACAGTTCCCTCCCTTCTCGTTGTTGTACCCCTTTCAGCTCCAGTGGTTTCAATACCACCTCCAAATTCTTAGTCAATGTCGTCGGTAACTCTGAACTAAATGCTATTTGCTAAAAGTAATGTGAAAGGCCAGAACTTTTTTTTTTTAAAGTAATAACTAGCTGAACTATAGCTATGCTAAATGCATCTCTAGGAAGAAATGAGATGTAAAGAAACCCGAAACACAGAAGTTTTTGGAGGAGCTAATGATGGTTATGATAATGCTTGTCTGGCAATGTTTCGAGGGATTTTTGCATTGTTATATTTTCAAGGCATCAATTTTGGATAGGCTTAAATTTAAAGTGATTTTTCATTAGCCTTATCCGAAGAATTGATCATCAATCATCTTCCCTTATTTGTCAAAGCAGCATTTGCTTTTATAAATGAACATGTTTAAGGCCCAATCTTGCAATTTCTTATAATATAAGGCTGCTGATCTAATGGTTATATATTACATGCTGGATGTCCCCCTAATTTTACTATTGTGTGATTCATAACAGATGACATTTTTCTTACTGTCTTATTGTATTTTTGCAGATAAAGCACCAGCTCCTCTTGTAGGTCTTGTGGGCAGAAAGGAGTATGAACATTGCGCTCAAGATATATATTTCTTTCTTCAGGTGTTTTTCCTTTTCCATAAACAAAATTTTTTATGATCATGTATAAGATAATATAGAACAAAAAAAAAAGGTTCAGGATTTATGTATTAAAATTTATTCAGGATGAACTTAAAAATCTTTGAATTACTTTGAGATCAGTGTAATATATGAATAATCAATCAACTTATGTTGCACTCATCCCAAAACAAATCTAAAGATTTTAAAACTCATCATGAACAAATATGGTTAACTCAATTTCTCTGCTAGGATTTCAGATTAAAAGGTTAGGATAAATTTTAAAATCTTTAGATTTGATTTGAGATAAATGCTTACACTCATCTCAAAATAAATTCGAGATTATTAAAAATTAATTTTGATCATGATATCTTGACCTAATTTCTCTCTATGGTAAAATTAAATTTCTTATGCTCAGCGTTTTAATCTGAACTTTTTACTGTATCAGTCTGTAGTTTGCTTGAAGCAGCTGACAGTAGAGCTCTTAGAGTTACTACTGCTATCTGCTTTCCCCGAGCTTGAGGAGGTTATTAGACAATGCCATGAAGAAAAAGATCAGTTTGGATTCTTTGAAGAGTAAGTCTCTACTCACTGAGCTACAGTACCATTTTTTAACTGGAAATCTGGTGGCTTTACCGTTTGATGTCTTCTGCGGTAAATAAAAAATATTATTGTAAATAGCCAAGTTCTAGTTTGTATTACAGAAGGTTGTTATTGATGTCCACTTGTTCATTGATTGCTATGTTGAGTCAATACGTAGTCCAATTTTGTACCTTTTAGGTCCATTATATAGTTTTTTCTTGATTACACCATAATCAATTTCAAGAAGAATTCTGTACATAATTGATTTTTATGAGTTAATTAAATCTAAATGTTTGTTATTATGGTGATGTGAGAGTTCTCATGAAGCAATCTACTTGTTAATACAATTTTCCATGTATTTACGCAAGTTTGGATTTGAAGAGAAGGATATATAGGCTTTGATGGTTGCTTAGCAGAACTCTATGGGTAAGATTGTATTCTGTGCGTAATCCGAATGTGTTCGGAGGCGAATCTGGGCATGCCACATCACCGGGGCCCAGTGCATCCTGATGCATCTCCGAATACATTCGGATTCTGCACAGAATAATCTCTCTTTTCTAAGACCCTCTATGTTATTTTTGGGTATCTCCTATTTTTTTTTTTTGTGAAGAATAAATATGGTATGATGCACATGTGCAACTAGTTGAAAGGATTTGAATAAAATGATAAGTATCCATCGTTAAAATTGACAACTGATTGTAATCGAGCCAAGTTTAGTATATTATGGATCGTATTTGGCTTAGTCAAATTATCAATTGTTGAAGTTCACCAAAAGCTCGAGCTGAGTATTCAGCTATATATTCATACTTGATTTGTTAACCATTATCTATGACCAAATTTGGTTTGCTTTGATTCTTACATGTGCATGTTGAACCAGATGACCCAAGTGCTCAGGAGAGATTATTACGTGCGGTGTCCGAACCGTCCGGAGGCGAATCTGGACGCGCCATGTCGCCCGGATGCACTGGGCTTCAGGTGACCTGCCTCATCCGGATTCGCCTCCAGACAAATCCGGACGCCGAACGTAATACTTTTCCCTAATTCTAACTGTGCACTCATTTAGACAACTCTCATAGCTTGGGCAATTGTACTGTGGAGATATGAAAATTATGCAAGTGTAGAATAATATGTGAAAAAAAAGAGAGAAAATAACTTAATTTGATAAATAATTATATAAGATATTAATATTAAATAAGTAATCAAATAAATTGTATTTGAAAATTTTTAATTAAGCAATATAAAAGCCACCATCAAACCTAATATCAAGCCTTTAGCATGTTATTTGTTGAACAACGAGCTAAACAAGTAGATTTGTTTAACTTTTGAGCTTTTAAATAATATTCAAATTTATTTAATTATTAACTTCACGAGCACTACTTACGGAGTACGAGTTGGTTGTATTGCATAATCATAAGAATTGTGAAATAATACGATTGATATACCCCATATGATTGAGCATTTTGGAGTCGTTTCACAGCCTATCAACACAATTTTTCTAATAGATTTTAAAATTAAATTTTTATTTTTGTGATTATATATAAATTCTATTAACATTTTTTTCTAATAGATTCTATTAACATTTTGGAGTCGTTCGACGGATGATGCGACTGAGAAGAAACGTCAAACCGGGTTGTACTAAGATTTTCATGTCAATCCGAACTCAACCTGATTTATAAATGGGTGGGTCAAAATCTCTAACTCAAATCCGACCCAATTTGAGTTTGAGTCAACCCGAACCCAAAATTTTCAAGTCGATTCAAATCGGATTTTTGATTTTTGTCAAATATTAACACCCCTAATTAGTCCACGCCTAAATCTTCCCCTTGCTTGGGAGTCCATTAACCCATCTTTCACTAGCTAGACAACTAAAACATCAATACCAAAACAAAATGGTCCAACACTTTTGAAATGATCTAAAGTTATCACCAATACATAATTTAAACAATATCTACTAAATTTAGATTGAAATTACAACAATATTAAAAAAAAGGGCTTCAAGTAAGCTTACACTTGTATCATTCACCTAAGAAGTCCTCCAAATAACTTTAAAAATGAATCTTCTCTTCTACTTGAAAAATAGAAAAATTAAATATACCCATAATTTAAATAAAAAAATGTAAATATATATTTACATCATACTTCGTCATGGTCAACTTTATGAATAGAATCATCACTTCAAGAAATTTTTTTTTTCCTTCCATCATCTGTGTGCTACTCTTCATCTTTTGATCAAGAATGACCTAATGAATTAACTTTGCTCATAAAGGAAGATATTCTCATGGGATCCTTCTGAATGCCATTGGTATCACAGATGCCACTACTGACATCAACTCCATCTGGTCTCAAAGCAACAATGGCTTCACAGACATTATCAGGATGCAGTCCTCCAGCTAGCAACCATCCATGTTTACTGCTTATAAATGGAACCTGAAACTTTTGCCAATTAAATCCTCTGCCACTGCAAGCATGAGAAGAAATTACAGCATTCAAAAATAGCACAAAGATTTAGAGGGGAATTCTACATCTTTCAGAGTGGTGGAGAACTTGGGACAATGGAGTAGTTTTTGGATGAAAAAGGTTTACAAATTCTAACAGCACATTGGTAAACATTTTAGCCATAGTTTTTTTTTTTTGCATTGATTGAAATCGATCCGGACTCAAACTTAAGGGAAAATTCTATAAGATGGTGGTGAGACCTGCAATGCTTAATGGTGCCGAATGTTGGCCATTATAAGAGAAGCATAATACTAAGTTAAATGTTGCAGAGATGAGGATGCTCAGGTGGATGATTGGCTTTACCATTAGAGATAGGATATGAAATGAGCATATACGTGAAAAGGTTGGAGTAGCTCCAGTGGAAGATAAGATTAGAGAGAGTCGCCTTAGATGGTTTAGTTACATAAAACAGCGGCCTCCCGATGACCCGGTTAGAAAAGAAGAAGTATTAGATTTGACTTATGTTAAGAAAGATGGAGGTAGACCTAAAAAGACTTGATTAGAAAATATAAGAAATGATCTTTCTTTAATAGATTTCAACAAGAATTTGACTTTTAACATGACACAATAGAGAAAAATGATTCATATAGCAAACCCCACGTAGTGCGACAAAGGCTTTGTAATAGTAATTATTGTTGTATTGAAATCTATCCAGAACTGGTTAATATTTTATGTTTAGGGTGCTTTCAAGAGCTTTTGATGAAATCTTGGATGGATCTCAAGAGTTTCAAACGAAACTCAGATTTTCAACAAAGGTTCACTAAAAACTTGAGAGTACTCCATACAATTTTATTAGATTCTATTAATAAGAACATACTAAATTTGATGTCTTATTAATTAATCTTCAATATTTGTGACAAATAATCATAGGGAGAGAGATTTCTCACATCCAAATACTGATCCTATTGAATTTATGAAACAACCAACATAATGAATAGAGATTATGACTAGTATTGTGCAAGCAAATTGTAGTCTGACCTGCCACCTTTTGCACTGTCCACCAAAACCCAATCAATCAAGGAAGAATCTTCAGTAGTAACATTGTTCAGAAGCATTCCTTCTTCATCAGCATGAAGAACATAAATGACCCTCTTTGTACTAAGCAGTTGTGGCAGTGCAGCACGAGAATCATCTCCATGAAGCTGCATTGGTTCTTTCAGAGTAAGGCTTCATTTGGAACAGCTTTCTTGCTACTTCTTAAAGTAACTTTTTAGTACAAAAATTTAAATTTTTGTAATAGAAAGCTGCTTTAAGAAGCAGTAAAAAAGACGAAACTATGATGAAAAATGCTATAAACTATAGGATGAAACTTGGATGTACAGGAAATGAAATTCATACAGTTATAGCCATATATTACTTGCAAAAATTCAAGATTAGCTGCTTCAGAAGCTCTTAGCATGGTGTCCAAATCATCATCAACAAATACTCCAACAGGTTCTGCTCCATTGTTACGTGCAGCCACAGAGATTTCTTTTGCGGTCGATACTGAAACAGAACGTTTTGATTTTGGCCACAGGATCATACCAATTAGTGATGCTCCAGACTGAGCTGCAAGTTCTGCATCCTTAGCAGAAGTAATGCCACACATTTTGACTATGGGGGAAGCTCTTTGTAAGTCATTTTCTGGAGGTGAGCTTTTCAACAGCTGAGATTTTAAGTTAGCCCTGGCACAAGGCAAGCTTCTTGAGGGTAAATTGAATTGCTTTCTGGGGTAACCTAAGTTAATTGAACAAATAAAGATATAAGAAATTTTAAGTTGCCATGGTTGAAGTGGAGAAATGCATCGGGTTTGTTATGCAATAGAAAAGTCCCCCTCAAACTTAAGGGAAAATTCTATAAGATGGTGGTGAGACCTGCAATGCTTTATGGTGTCGAATGTTGACCATTAAAAGAGAAGCATAATAATAAGTTAAGTGTTGCAGAGATGAGGATGTTTAGGTGGATGAGTGGCTTTTCCCTTAGAGATATGATACGAAATGAGCATATACGTGAAAAGGTTGGAGTAGCTCCAATGGAAGATAAGATTAAAGAGAGCCGCCTTAGATGGTTTGGTCACATTAAACGGAGGCCTTCCGATGACCCGGTTAGGAAAGTTGAGGTATTAGATTTGACTTATGTTAAAGGTAGATGTTGACCTAAAAAGACTTGATTATAAAATATTAGAAATGATCTTTCTTTATTAGATTTAAATGAGAATTTAACTTTTAACATGACACAATGGAGAAAAAGGATTCATTTAGCCGACCCCACATAGTGGGACAAAGGCTTGATGTTGTTGTTGTATTCATCGGCACTAAACTTCTTCCTAATGACATAACGACTACAATAAGTGAAATAAAACAGTTAGATCACAAGTAAGAAGGGAGCAAATAAGAAGAAACCTAGTGATAATCATAGTGAAGGTACAGGTAAAAAGGATTAAGAAGACGTGAATATTCAAGAAGAATACCAGAGCAGTTCCCCTGCATAACGAAATTGGAGTGAAAATGCACGATCGAAAATGCCATGCCTTGATTCCAGCAAACTTGAGAAACCTAGTAGTGCTAGATACCTGAAAGAAAAATTGAGAAATCCAGACAATTATAGTTAAGACTCTTCTGAGGCATATCAGCAAAAATCTAAAATACATATTGTGCCATCAAATTTAAACGACAGATTGGAACAACAAAGAAATCTGTTTTAAGTTCTTAGGTCGTATGGGCTATCAATGATTGACATCTTGAATTTCGCAGGTACTATAACACCCTTTAAAACCCCAATCTCTCTTTGCCCCTCTCTCTTTTTATGTATATTTGTATTTACACATTTCACAAGACCTACAATTTATATTTTTTATCCACCAAAAAAAAAAAAAAACTCTATGTTAAACTCTTTAATGGTTGCACCAAATGATTATATATGAAAAATATCAACATATAAAAGGGTGGGTAATAAACTCTGCAGGTAGTATAAAAATTAAAAATATAACACCAGGTAAACCAATGTGCAAAAGGGAAATAAATCCTATGTCCTTTTTTAGGGGTAATTAAAACTAGTAAGCATAGTTTTGCATCCCAAAATGGGGTTTCATGGGGTGGGCGCGAAGATTTGCATACATATCACAAATTTTTTATGTATTTATATATCAAACACCTAAATTCTTATACTTATATAACACTTTAGTACCAAAATCACATCAATACATATGCATGAAAATATGTATTTTACATTAAATAACTTAGTAATAGTGATATTTTTTATATGATTCAAAGATTTGAGTGTTATATAAGTAAATACAATGATTTAGGTATTAGATGTCTAAATATATAAAAAAATTGCGGAATGTGTAAATCCCCCAAAAATTATTCTTAATGCTTGTGCTAGCTAGGTTCAAACTTAGCCCCTTTGTAATATGCATTATACTCTAACATTCAAACAAGAAAAGTATTTATTAGATAAGAATTAAACTTTTTTTACAAAACAAATCATTATAGAAACAAAATTTTAAATTCAAATTCTTACTAGATAAGATTTATGTTTAAATTATTTATAATTAATACTTGAACTAATGAGAACTTATTAATTCAAAATTTTAAATTTATGATGCATGAAAATCTAAAAGTATATCTAAAAATACAATCACCTTAAAAAGAAATGGCAATTATCATGTTAGATAACAAAAACAGGAATCAAAACTGAACAATGCAAATGCATAAATCATCTAAACAATCGAAACAAAAATCTTCACAACCATAAAGAGCCAAAAACAATATAAAAAACATTGTTTAAACACCTAATCTGAGAAGTGCTGCAATGGAAAAGCAGAAAATGACAATGAAGCAATAAATGAATGGGCGTGCCGCAGAGGATTTGAAGAATAATGAAGGTAAACATTAGCCCAGTAATGGCATTCTAGGTAGGAATGTGTAGCAGCACGAAAGAAATAGTAGGATTAAAAAAAAAAAAAAGAAACCAAAGTCTCCACAAGCAGATTCAAAACGAATAACTGTAGATAAATAGGAAGATGCCATTATCGAAAACGAAGGCTTGAGCAGGATTTAACCTAAATCTCGCCACAAAAATGACAACTTTGAAGCCTACAGAATCTTAAATCCCGTTTCTCCGTCGTTTCACCTCGGGAATCGTGGGATTTAGCTTAATCCGTAGCTTACGAACTCCTCTTCTCCTCCACAAGCTGCTGCTACCGTCAATGCCATCTCCGGCGATCTCCCGTCGAGACATTCTCTACTCTTTGTCGTCGAGGGTTTCCGAAGAGGCTGTTTGGTATCGGATTTATCGTCGGATTTAAGTCGGATTTACGCTAAATCCAGCCAAACAGTTTTACAGCGCGCGTTAAATCCCGGATTTACGGCTTAAATTCCTCGGTTCGATGGATTTAACGGGATTTAAAGAGTGGCGGAAGACTTACCCGCGGCGCCCGTGTCGCCGAAGCTCAACAATCGCCGAAGAAGCGCGCGAAAGGGAGAACCTTCACAGCCAGCATGCTCCCGTTGTTGCTTCCGATCAAAATGTCGTAACTTCCGACCCGACAGGAAGGGAAAGTCGTCGAAGGAGCGAAGTCGAACAGCCACGAAGGAGCCGAAGTAGCGACGCGCGCAATCTCTAGTCTCTACACCTCTGCGAAGCAACGAAGCCGAACAGCAACGACGAAAAGAAAAGATGAAA